TAAACACACAAAACAGACACATAGATACACGCAATACATAACTGCCATAGGTCAAAGAAAACATTTAATTATTGCCCAAAAAGGGGGCAGATTTTAAATTAAATAAATAATAATTATGTTAAAAAAAAAAAAAAAAAATATATTTGCAGCATATCAGGATATAAATGTTTATACCAAAATGGAATGTCATTTTGTCATTTTATAACTTTAAGCAGCATTTTCTTTGAGTGTATATCTTCTACCTAACTACCCTAAACTGTCCTTAACTAACGCCTTTTAATTTGTCTCATATAACCGCTGGGCAATTCGTTACCCTGATAAAATATGTATATAAATCAGTCAATACCCCAGGCCGACAATTTTCAACACTTGCCTATTAAAAACATGAACGTTGTTGACTTTTGCTTCAGGCAGCGATTTTTACCTCCCGCCGAACGAAAACTCCTAACTTCAAAAAAAAAACAAAAAAGAAAAAACACCCCGTTAATTGCACGCTTCATGTTGTTTATTCTTGGTATTTTAAACAAAATAATTCATAAATTAATTTCAACATGTTGGCGCATATAAAAAATACGCTTCAAAGAAGAGAAAAAAAAAAACTTTACAAGAAATATGTAAAAATGTTGGAGTGAACGTTTAACGTTTGTGAAAAATCACCTCATAAATTTACAACAACGTGAACACAACAATTATTTTCATGCGCGGGAAAAAGTAATTGCAATATGGTAACCGGTGCATGGCATGGGAGCAGGTGCGGGGCATGGAAGAAATTTTGGGTAGTGAAAACAGGAACATGTCCGTGCTGTTGTTGCTTACGTGACTGAAAATAAAATCACAATCTATTTACTCAACAATTTGGCAGCCTTTTTTGTTAACAACTTATCAAAATTATGACAAAATTACTTGCCAATGCCACATATCCAGAACTGGCTGGCAGTCTGTTGACGGGCTAAGGTTAACCTCTATGTGTGCGCGAGGCTAACCAAAAAAATTGCCAAATATTTTGGCCACAATAATTTTCGATTTGTAAGCAACTATAAGAGCTAACCTCGCATAAACGAGGCGTCTTTCGACGACGCTGCTGCTGATTGGCATTCAAGCACTTCATTATTGCAATTGCCCCATCGGAACTCGCTGCCTGCTCCCTCTGCCAACGTACTGAAAGCCGCGAATTGAAATTTCACGCAAGTTAAACGCAGTGGGTGCAGCGGCAAGCGACGGGCTGCGGTCGGGCTTGGCGGGGTTTGCTATAGTGCAATTTAAATGTCGGCCAGCGCCTGGGTCCGGTCTGCGTCTGGGCGCGGACATGCTCCCGTTTGCATTGTTGACCACTGAGTGATGCAGCAAGTATGCCCAGACCAAACGACAGCCCGCCCAATCGTCTGACCCCACCGAACGATTGCAAGTCCTGTCCAGCCCCCTTGTTTGGGGCTTGGGGCTGCTTTGCGTTTTCGCGCCGCGCAAGCCGATAATTTATTAAAGGCGATTATTATGGCCTGGTTCGAAGCTCCCAGTCTGAAGTTGCGTGTTGTAGTAATTTACTGGCCTTTTGTGGGGAAACAAGTTTGAAACAAGTGAGCTGGGGACCACGCTGCCAGGCAGCCGGGCTGCCAGGCTACCCTCTAGGTTCTGTTTGGGTGCCATGCGTGATGTTGTACTTGCGGTATTTACATATGAAATGTGTTAAATTGAGCTCTTTTTTAGCGCAAGTTTGTTTTAGCGAACAAATTGCTGACCTTACCTACCCCGCCAACGAACGCTCTTTGGCACATTATGCGCGAATTATAGTTTCAACATTCCAGCAACTCAACTTGCCCCCATAATCGTGAGCCGATTTGATTTAAAAATCGCACAATCATCGGACACTGAGAGGACGAGCGGTTGCAGGAGCAAGTTGTGCTGGGGGCGTGGCTGAAGGCCCTCAAGACTGGCTGGCTAAATCAACTAACTAATGAAAAATTTGCATATCAACATGCTCAAGTGTTGAGGGCAAAGTTGAAACTCGATTTTGATTTTTGTGGGCGTGGCAGAGCCCATTCAAAGTGCATTCAACTGTGAATTTTTGCAGCACATTTGTTGCTTTGTATATGCCATATGTGTGTGTGTGTGTGTGTTGGGTTTTTACTGAAATACGGCATGTGGAAATTTAATCGCCATTTATTTCACTTGTTAAAATGCTTTTGTTCAAGATCTGGAGCACTGACGGCAAACTGCAATTTAAAGTGCAATAATAGTGAATATTTGTATATATATGTGTGTGTGTGTGTGTGTGTGTGTTTGTATGTGTATGAACATGTGGATATGTATTTAAGTGGAGCACTGTGTGTTGTAAATGGCAAAAAATGGCTATTGAATTTTTTTTAAATTAACGACAGAAATTCAAAGAACATTGCCGACAAAAAAGCAAAACGTGAGAAATTTCGCTGTACAAAAGACGTAGGCAAACCAACTTCTATGGGTTCCATATTCATTAAATCAATCAAGCTTACAACGAAGTTTCAATCAGGTTAAGAGCAACAGCTTAAATTGGAAATATTGCTTTTTATTATACAAACCATAATTAGAAAATCACCCTTGTTAGTTTCCTTCTATGTTTTAGGACTTCCTTCCTTAAGGGACTGGCAGTATCTCAACTAGCTTGTCAATATTTGTTTATTTAGCCAATCCAACAATTTGGTGGATGCCTTCATATTCAGCCCTTGGTTTTACGGCCCACAAAATTTCACGCAGCTTGGCAGCTCCCAACGGAACTGCCCAATTTGACAAGCGGCTCTGGGACGCACAAATTGAAGACATGTGCTGAATTTTATGGCTTTTAAATAACAAGCCATAAAAGCCGGTCCTGGCGAGCACAAACAGCACAGAGGAAAGAGTCAACAAACCGGAAATTGTCAAAGGAATCAAACTACTTAAAACGAAAGCGAAAGGCAAAGAAATGAAAACGAAAGCATTTCGTTGTGCGTTTTATTTAAAAATAGCACAGATACAATTTTATGCGCATTTATTTTTTGGACGCGACGATGAGCCCAATGAACTCATTGAAATTCAGTAGAAAGGGTATAATGTTTTGGGTGAAAATGTATGTAACAAACTTTAATTTTTTTTCAATATATATCCATCCGATTTCATAATATATACACACTTAAGCAGAAGTTAACCAAGAATGCATTTTGAATACATTGGGAAGAATCACAGCCGTTCTATGTATAAAAGGAACCTAGAATGGTTGTTGCTGGGTTCAGGGTATCTCCTAGTAGGACACTCGCGAACAGACCACTCTTACTTGTTGTACGCATGTTTTATGAAACGGATAGTCGTGCCATATCTGGGCTAGAGCCGGCAGTGGGCAGACATAATGAATGTGGCCCGTTCATGACTTGATGATGTCGCGTTGCCTCGCCTTGTTGGTTAAAATTACAAGTGTCCAGGGAATTTGGTTCGGACCCTTCGTTAACTTGGCCACAGGGTCAGCGTGACACTGGACCAGCACCAGCTCGCAAAAAATGAGGAATATGTAATGAAAACAAACGAAATGAAACGCAAAATGTTTTTATCACTTTGAGCTAAAAAACAAGGAGAGATAAAGAAGTAGAGAAAAAGATAGACAGAGGGTAACCGAGCAGCAAATGCTGTTTACACTCAACAAAAAATCGACAACCTCGCCCTGTCTCCACACGGCTGTAACAGCATCCGAATGAATGGGAGGAAATAAAAGGGCGACTACAAAACGAATTCCGATAGCCAAGTTAAATGCTTGCAGTGATAATGACTAGAGCTGGCTAAGAGGGTTGGAGTTAGGAAACACAAACAACTGAAAAGCCAGTGGCAGTAAAAGCATTTAGATTTCACTTAAAAGAAACTAAAAATGCAAACGAACTCACCCGACTGCCCGTAATGGTAACCAGTCATGAAATACCAAGGTGCAAACCGAACAAAAAAAAAAGAGAACAACAACAATAACAAAAGCCAAAACATGTTGGTGAATTCTTCCTTTTACTAGAATCCTACCGCTACTGCTGGCCAGTACAGTGGAACGCTTGGGGTTGCCCGTCCAATGAGGCTGCAAGTGCTGGTTGCGGTTCTGGGCACAGCTCTGAGTGCAAAAAACATTCTCCACAATTAGAGCAGCTGAAAAGTGAACTAGGTAGAAGCCTTACAATCCTGTTTAATTGTTGATGTGCGAAATTGTGGGGGAGTGTACAGCAGTAGAGGTCTGTCTATTTGGTCAAAAAGTTGCACCTCAATTAAGTCAAAGACTTGAAACGAACCACTTGCAAAGGGAATGAAATATAAGAACATTAAAAGTGGGTAGCAGGCAGCAGGATTGATAAAAGTGCAATTCTATAATTAAATGTGATTTCATTTCACTTAGTAAATTTCTGAATTAAGAGGAATAGACTGTTCGTAACGTCTAGGAGATAGAACAGGCATTTGCGAAGAATTATGAAAATGAAATATTTATATCTATTTTATTTTCTTTTTTCTTGTAAAATTTATAGAATTTTCAAATATGACAAAAAATTGGCCTGGAGAAATTATTGAACTTGAATTGAAAATTATTGTCATTCATTTATTTCATTTCCAGCTCTTTATTTTCATGAGATTTAAACTTTCTCACAAATCCAACAGATATCTCTTACATTTAATTTGAATTATATTATTCTCATGTTTCACTAAGAAACACCAGAACTTTTCAATTCTTTTTGCTGTCACAAAGCATTTAATTTTTTTTTTTGCCCTGGCTTAAAGCCTTTTTGCCTTTGCTGTTTGATTCATCATACGCTTGCTTGTCTATCTGGAGATATAACCGATAATCGTCAGCTCAAAATCCTACATAAATCACTAGCTCTTCTATCCAAACACTAACGCGATTTATTTAGTTTTCTGTTGTTGTTGTGCGTATTTTTTTCTATTTTTTTCTATTTGTCTTTGCTGAAGGCGACAAAAGTGCAGGGCATAGTGTGACAAAATCACTTAAGCCGGCTTAACGAGGCTTGTAATTGAATTATGCGATTTTATTGTGATTATTTTAGAGCTCAGAGCTGCACAAAAAGACAGGCGGGGGGTTCCTAAAGGGGGTTTTGTGGGGAGTTCGAGATGTTGTCGCTCTGAGTAATGAGATACGTAAAAGTTATTTAAACTTTTAAATCCGCGTCGCTGCCTTTTACTTTCGCATTCGCTCACTTTGCGCTTGCCGAGCCTGCTCGCCTTTTGGTATGCTACACTTTTAGCAGCCACATCCTAAACGGCCCGGAATGTCGGCTAGTTAAACGTTTGAAAAGTTTGCCGTCTGAATCGCTGAAATGATTTGGAAAATTACAACAACCAGCCGAAAACGCCGACAGACACAAGGAAATACAAATGAGTCGGCGTTCACGTTGACGTTATACGACCCCCAGACTCAATCCTCCCACACCAGTTTGCTAAAATTTCCAATCCTCCGCGTAGACCAGCGCCTGGCATTTGCTCGTGCATATTCCACATACCAAGGCAAAGAAAGGGTTGATTGGCATTTCTCGCAGAGTAAGCAAAAGCCTTTTTTGCTTTGCTGTGTTTTTAGAGCCAACACCTAAGAGGGACCGACTGGGCTGACTGGGGGACTGGCAAGTGTTTAGGTTTTGTGGACTGATTGCAAGAACACGAGTACACGTTGCCATCCATTCCGGCGACAGAGAGCCTCCGTCTGCTTTGTCTCCGGCCTTGTGGGTGTTTATTTGAGCAGCTCTTCGGAGCTCTGTATCTCTCTCAGGGACGTCTGCCTGCCAGCCGAAAATTCATTTGTATTTGGAAATCCCCTTTTGATGAACTCAACATTTTCGTGTTTGTCTGCAATTTTTTGATGCCCCTCCTTTGCCTTGCCGTTCCTTCATAACTCGTAGCTTATGGCACCTTGGCTTAATGCAATTCCTAAATATATTGTATGTACTTTGACAGCGTCTGCAAAGCCGCCTTTGATTAGTTCACTGTACAGCAAGACAGATATTTCTCTCGTTGATATTTGCACACGTGTGCATATTACTCTAGGCAGAGGCGCCGCAATTGGGAATTATTTAAAGATTATTTAAAGACTGCAGGCTATTAAAATTTCATTTTTCCAAGAAAGTTTTCAATAAATTTTTGTCATGAATTCCCTGACGACGTCAGGATCAATTGAATATAGTAGAAAATGCAAATGGTACCGAAATTGCTTGCGTGATTAAAAATTGTTGCTGGATTTGAATCAGTCCAAAGCTTGAAAATTAAAACCGCTTTCTTTTATAACATCACAAAAACACACTAAAATAAGCTGAATTGTTCAAAACGCAGTGTGTTCCTAGCCATTATAGTCTCTGTTTTTTATATAGGTAATCATTATTCCAATCGATACCTTGGCATCTTCTTTCAAAACACCGGGTTCGCTGCTTAAGACTCAGACGATCTGCTCGTCTATGGGGTAATAAATTATCATTGTAATGTAGATTTGTGCAAGTGTTGCTGCCAGCAGCGCCCGGCACCTGCCAGATACTCGAACATAGCACAGTCACAACCCCCTCCAACCCAATAAGCGTCTATCTTTGTGTTTCGACTGCTCTTGTAATGTCCATAATTGCAGCAAGGCCCTTGAAAAACTTTAATTGCTCTTTGGGTAGTTGTGGGCAGGAGGCTGCCGGGTCGGCTGCCCGAAAGCCGATTTGTTTGATTTATGGGGCTAGCATTTATAAGCGCTTTGTTCGAGCATTGAATTCTGTACCACCCACAACACGATATATATGTATATATAATGCTCACTTATAGTGGCAAAATTGAATCAATAAAGCATGCATAAAAAGTTGGCGAAAATAAATTATTATATTTCGCCCCTTTCAGTTGCAATTAATGTCAGACACACAGACGACAGCAAGGACGTAGACATGGATATGGACGTGGACAGCGACGGAGAGGAATAAAAAACAATAAAAGCGAATTACATTAAAATTACACAATCAGCAAAAAGCAGAAGCACCAGCAGCAGTAGCAGTTGAGGCAGAAATGGAAACCTTGTTACGCTGCATGGGAAAACAAAAAGCGAAACGATTACACAGTAGGTGGTAAGGGACGCTGGGCAACAGGTTCTTGAACCAATTGAAAACGTTGTTAAACGAGTTTTAATTAGACGGCGAAAGCTGCAGACCAGCCCAAGTCGAAGTTGGCGAAATGAAACAATGGTAACATAGACTGAATAGAGCCGGGCTGGCAATTCAAGGTAATTTCAAATCATGAGCATAGCAGAAATGGCATACTAATTAGATGTGGCTGGCAAGGACTTTAACGCTCATGATTTGGCGAAAAAGTGTAAATGATGTATGGTTAGACCCCAAACCCCTGGCTAAAAGCGCATCAAAATCAAATCGGAATTGCAGCAAAAGAAGTTCGCTTAATTACTTTCTTTGCGAATTAGCAGCGCGGAAATAACGAGGAAATAAAGATGAGCACGGAACAGAGTGCGAGAGAATTAGACTGGGGACAACGGACAACGAACAACGGACAACAGCCACATAACGAGGGATGTGCTAAAGCCTTTGGTATGGCGATTAAAGAACTATAAAGAAATTGGCACGTAATCATCTAAAGCTGCATAGAGTAGAAGCAGAATTTCATTAACTGAATTGCTTTGGGATGATTTCTTCAAGCTTATTAACTCAAATCAAGTTAAGGGTATAAAGATAAAGCTGACAGGGAGCTTTAAGTGGCTGAAAAAGTCATTTTAGTATTCATTATTATTAATATTAGTTTAAGATGAAGCCATGTTTAAGTATAAACGGATAATAATTAACAGGAGTTTGATCCCTAAATTTCGTGCTTAGTGTACCGACGCTTAACCCACCCCGTAGCTTTAAGCTGCCAAGATATTGAAAATACTTTTGAGCCACTAAAAAATAATTTAAATTAAATAAGGTAATTTTTCTTGCATAAATCATGCGAGCCCAATAAAGTCATCAGCTATGCGACACCTTTGTAAAGCTTACAGACAGCCAGATTTTGGCCAAAGTGTTCCCAGTTGTCCACTGTGGTGGCCAACGTCTGGCCCACAGACAGTTGTCCTATGGTTGAGATTGATTGAGCGTAACCTCGACGCATTTCTCATTGTCGCTGCGAATTGCTGAAATTTCTTGGCGTTTTCGCTGTGTTAAATTGCTGGCATTGCTCCGCATGCAGCGCCAACCTTATCCCTTTTGCTGCCATTTGCTCCCTTGGCAGAACTTCATTGCCTTGTCGAAGCAAGGCAGGCAGCGATGCATGCCACTCGTTTGGTTAGGCCATCCATCTGGTGGCCCCTACGTGCCTCTGCTAGCTGCTGCCGCTGTTGCTGGCGGTGACTTTTGAGCATTTCAGTGGCTAGTGGCCATTCGCTGGCCAGTCGGTGGGTTCGCTTCGCGTTGCTTGTCAGTTGGCTGACAGTGGAATTGATTTAATGCTTTTTTGTGCCCCATCCACAGGTGGAGTCGCAGACTCTCTTAATTGGCCTCACTTTGGCGGTGTTTATTCATGCGCTGTAGTTGTCCACTTTTTTGCTGCAACAAAACATTTTAATTATTGCCAGAGCCACAGACACAGCGAGTGATATCAACAGACGAATGGGAGGCAGCGCCAGCCGCACAAAAAATGATAAGCGCATAATTGCCATCAATTAAGTGGCAACTGAGGGTGACTGCCACAAAAAGCGGCAACTGGACACCTTGAGTGCTCAATCGAAGCTGTGGCTGTTACTGAATATCTACTTAATTGAGCTGGCTCTAGTTTAAGCAAATGTATTTGCAAAATCTTAAATTAAAGCCGTCGGAAATTGTACATAATTGACTGCTTAAGCTGACAACTGTGCCTAATGGCAAATCAGACAGATATTCGGTATAACAACTAGTTTAAATTTGGGTTTAATTTAATGGTTAATTTAACAGGCTGCCAATCAAGTTCATGTCTTGTCATGACTTACATTTATTGAGGCGTCAAGGAGTTCTAACAACTATTAAGCATTCTACTTGGTATTTACCATCCATATTGATCAACATTCAAGTGAAAACAATAAGAGCTGATATCTTGATCTCTCCATTTTCGTTCTTTATATATATCTCTCTTTTTCTCTTTTACTTATAAAATTCGCCTTTCTATGCTATGCTCATGAATTTAACTAACACTAACAACTTTTCAGGTGGATTCTATTTTTGTCTCTGTCCTTATTTGAGCCTCCTGCCTCTAAGTCCCTTTTCTCTTGCAATCTCTTCAATTAGCACGCAATCGTTCTTGATTTCCCAGTTCTCTTTAATCTTCTACAACTAATCTAAAATTCGATTGACTGCCAAATCGTCATCAATTATTTCAATCGAATATTTTCATTTAATGAAATCAAACGGGAGAAGCCAAAAACCAGTGACCAGATTGCCGCTAGGGGGCTGAATAAAATTCTCGTTTGGTTTGAGGCATTTGAATATTGGGGAATGTGACGCTTTTGCTTTTGTTGAGCAGCTGCTCGTCTGTCATTTTTCAGTTTCATTTAATGGAATTTGCAGCTATAGGGTACCAATTTTGGTGTTTTTTCTTGACTTATTTTGTACTTTTTTTTTAATTGAAACATTTATTTATAAACAAGGCGCGAGCCAAAAGCAGGGCAAAAATCGGGGTAGATCAAAAATGCCCAGCACAAAAGTATTGAATGTAAATTGCGCTCGATTGTGCCCAGCTTTTGCCCACTCAAACATTTTTTTCCGCAGTATTTACGCTCTTTGTGATTTATTTGCTGCTCAGAAAAACTATTACAACAACAGCTTGAATTGGGTTTTTTGTAGCAATTTTTGTTTTAATTAAAACTGTACTTTAATCGGAAATTGACAAATGCATGCTGCACTTTAATGGCTCTGGAGATGATGGCGTCCAGCAGGAGGCTTAAATGAATTCGTGATTTTTATTTCTTTTTTGTTTATTTTCATTTTGGGCAGTGGGACAAATGTAAGCCGGGGGTGGCAACAATTGGTTTTCCATCAAACAAATTGAAACACTCAGTGCTTCCTGTGTGCACTGCTTGGCTGTGGCAGCTCGGCTACGACTGCACTTAACTTAAAAACGTTTCATTTTATATGGTTTTACTCGCCGCTGGGCCCCTAGGGAGAATTCCGCCCGTTCGACGTTTCGCCATAAAGTATGCAACTTCATTGATAACATTTATTTCAAATGCACTCAAAAACCACTCAATAGTATGAAATTTGTTGCAGTTTACCTGCACACAACTCACCCATAGAGTCATCACGCACACACACATACACCCTGACACAGACACTCTAACACACACACTCACTAACTCTTGAAGCGTCGTCTCTTGGGCCCAACGACGCGTGCTCATATCGCACAGCCCGGCAAATGAGCATAGAGTTTGAGTGTGTGTTGAATGTGTAAGTGTGCGTATATGTGTGTGAACTGTGTGTGTCTGAGTTGGGTTTATATTAAAAATAGTTCTTTATTATATTTCCCACATGCTTTGCATGTCTGCCCTCATGCGTGTGTGTGTGCGTGTGTTTGTTGTCCCAGTGTGTAGTTACAATATATCCTGGTTTTGTGTTGCATAAATTTTATTGAAGTGCGCAACATTCATTTCCCGTTCGATCTGTGTGTGTGCATAAAACTTTATACATAAATACATTTCACTGGGGAGGAGACAATGGACACAGTACGGTTCAATCGATTTCATAACCTAATGATTGGATACTGTGAATAGTTGGGATCAGGGCTGCAAACTCAAAAGAAATTGTTAATGACTTGAAGAACCGTTCGAGCCAGTTCTTATATATCTTGAGTATTATAATAAAAATTGCAACAACCAAATGGGGTTAGGCAAATGCAATGGTTGAGGCTAAAGTTACAAATTTGAAGCTGAGTCTCTCTCAAAGCTTTTTTATTTTAAACCAAGCGATTATTAAAAATAAATA